TCCTTCATCCCTTTACACTGGACTGACACCTGAAATCATGGCAACTCACAGTTTTAGCTCTGAAACAATTGGACAAAAGAAGCAGAAAATACCAGAGCTGAGATAAAGAAGGAAATCTGACTCTTATTTCCACATGAATTGTGCAACTTCCAGTCCAGGAATGGACAGAAACCACAACTTGAAAGCTCTTTCAGACCTATGGAGTAGGACATCCCAGACTGGCAGCAGCTGCAGGAGGGAAGCAGAGGAAATGGCCTGCCCTCCTCCACCTGCACCATCCCTTACTCCTCATTATTCCTAGGTTCAAAATCCTCAAATTCATTCAAAAAGCAGAGAAAAATGAATGTTAACCACACATGGAGAATTACTACAAAATGACCAGGTAAAATCACAAGGTGATGAGCCCTGGAGCTGACCACCAGCCCAGCAGAGCCCAGGAAGGTTGCCCCTGGCCAGCACAGGACCAAAGCAACATTGAAAGCAGACTCCCACCCACAGCTTCACACATGGGACTGCCCCACAGCTCAGGTTTGCAGCTGGGAGGGAGTGCTGTACGGTGCTCCTTACTGCTTTGAATTAAAATAGGGAAGCTGGGATTTAGGTGCGTGCTCACCACTGGATCAAACCTGAACTGAGAACTAAGAAGAGTAAAACAAACAAACATCTGTAACAGTATTTGATAGAAAAGGAGAAAAAAAAAAAAAGAAGAAAGCCACACTTTAGGTTATCTCACCTATCCTTTGCTCTGTGCGTTTCTCAGTCATCAGGAATGCACTCACACAACTGGATGTCAGCTTCGTGCGTTCTGCAAAACCACCCCCCTTAACTGATAATCAACTGGCCCTACTCTAGCTCAACATAAAGAAATCTGAGCTTCTCAACCACGTTTCCTCTCTGCTGGGCTATGGGAAGTGGGTGCTGTGCTCCTCCCAACATCTCTGCAATTTCACTTCCATTAATTCCATTCCCATCCTCTGTTGTCACTGCATTTCTCTTAAATGTTCAGTGGCTCTGCAATTCCCCCGTGACACCGTGCCTTGTGCTCAGTCACCCACTGAGGCTCTAGATGTGAGTTTTAATTTTTTTCCATTAAAAGCCATCAGTGTTTTCATGAGCGCTAAATGTGAGTAATTAATATGAAATCAATGAAGGCCCCCTATCTGCTCCTGATCCTTTGCTGGGCAAAACGGAGAGGGATGACCAGTGCCACTGGGCCCAAATCTGGGCTGTTGTTTCCCCCATTCCCCTGCAGCTATTTTTAATTATCTCCACTGAACTTAAAAAGAGCAATTTGTGCGGCCACTCTACATGTGCCAAGCCGACCCATTTATTCCAACATAAATCTTTCATGCTTGCTACACAAGAGAACACATCTTCCAATCATAAAAATTCATGAACCAAAGAAATAATTTAAAAAAAAACCACAGCTCTGTCAATTAAATTAATGCAGCAAAAAAAAAAAAAAAAAAAAAAGAGTGAATAATTCCATCGCCAAGTCCAACCAATACAAAAGCTTTTTGATAGCCAAAATCCAACACCCAGGCAGGGCTGGAGGCTGTCCAACACATTTCAAATTGGTACCTGTGCATGAAGAGCGAGCTACGCTCGCCTTGTGCTTTGGCACTCGGAACAAGACCAAGTGATCTCAACCAGCACTCATTTATTGATGGGAATCAATGATGCTGCAACAGATTGCATACCCCGTCCTGCCTGTACGCCGCAAATGGAGAGCTGCACCCTCAGATGAGCTGAGGCTGATGGAAACGCAGTGCCTGCTAATGGCAGTGGCTGCATTCCGATGATTATGTATTCTTTTTTGCCTCTGTTCAGGGTGTAAAAGCCTTTTCCATGACGCACCCGGCGCGAGCCTGCCCGCTTCCCAAATTAGCAGGAGTTGGAAATCTGAATCCTTTACAGGCCATTAAGTATATGGGAGAGTTTATATAGGATGCGATGCCTGAGGTGGGAGGGAATGGCAATGGGTGGGGAGCCAGGAAAGAGCACCGTGTCCAATGGAAGGATTTGGAATTTTTGATCAAAGCCAGGAGGATTGGAGAGGGGCGACTCCAAGGGAAAAGTAACTGAAATGAAGTCAAGGGGAAAGGACAAATCTAACAGAAACATTCATTCATCTCTTATTTACAGACTGGGTTTTGAACCACTCATTTTTAATTCAGAATCAGGGCGACTCCAGGAAAAAGATTAAAAAAACAACGTTCAGTGCAATCACCCTACAAAAGAGGAGGGATTAGAGTCCAGAAGTACACAGATATGGATTATTTCATAGTTCTGCAAAAGGAAAATAAATCATCCTATTATTTAGAGCAAGACAAATGCAACAAGGCTCCAAACACCCATCCCAGTGCCAGAGTCGCTCTCCAAAAAGCCACAGCTCAAAAGAAAGCACAAAGTGCCACCAGGAAGCTTGAAGAGCACTTTTTCACTGGTTTTATTTCCATAATGAAATGAAGGGAAAAAAAACAATAGGTAATTAATACGTGGATCAGCAAAGCATCAATTTAGACATCTCAAAGGGGAGAGCGCAACAAGCGGCAGCTCCACCGACTCGCATCTATTTCTCTCCCCTCTCGCTTTGATCTCACTTCATTGCTCCTTGTGAGAATATCATCAACAAAATGGGAACCACTGACAGCAGCAGAAAAGCAAAGGGCAGATGGGCTGCTCCATTTAGCATCTCCCCCCTACCTCTATCCTGAGCCTCCCTTCCTGTCCCCCAGGGATCGAGTTAAACTGACAAAACCCAAACTGTGGATCAAAAGGGCCGTTTGGTTCTGGCACAGTGAGAATGTTGTACAGAGTAAATGCTGCGGGATAAATAATGAATCAGAGCAGGTGGATTCGTAGCCTCACCACAACCCCACAGCACACCACCATGCAGAATTAGCACTTTGTGTTCAAACACAGCAGGAAATCCCAAATTGGTTAATTCCTCCATGATCCCTGTTAGTCCAATGGGAATCTTCACCTTTTTCTGTTCACTGAGCCATAGGAAAGATTCCAGGCTACTCCTTACTGAGAAACCTCATTTCTTAATAGCAGCGAGGTGAGAAATGCCCCAAAAAGGGGCTGAAAAGCCTTGAGTCAGTGCTAGGTCAGGAAAATCCCCCAGAAAATCTGCATAAAGCACTTCCAAACCCAGCACTTGCTAGCAGCAAGATGAATGAGTGGGCACAGAACTGAAACGAGGAAATAAACTCCTCTATTTCTCCCTGAAAAAGGGCTCTGTGTTCACTATTCAGTGCTGGGTGAGTACCGGCCCAGTGGACTCTCAAAGATGAAGCAACGTCTCAAAACTGTGGCTGGATAAAAATACAGGGAAAGCTGTGGGGTGACGCAGCTTTGCACTGGGGTCAATCCCATCTCACACACAAAGCTGAGCGTCCCCATATCCCAAAGACCATGACCAATGGCCACAGCAAGAGGAACCCCCCTGGGATGGCAACCTGCACTTTACAGTTGTAGGAAACACCTCCATCACTTTACAGTACAAAGCACAGCATCACCCCATCACCATACAGATGCACAAAGGACTTTGATTTTCAGTCCATCATCAGGGAAACCACGGGGTGGGGGGTGGGAGGAGGTCCCCTGCTTACTGCCTGCATGCTGGAGATGCTGGGGCTTTGCAAAATCCTCTTGTGCAGAAAGCAAACAGAGCAAGGGACCAGGGAGACATGACAGTGTGGGACAGGCTCTGTAGAGAACCTGGCACAGCCGCTCCTGGAACATCAATTAGAGAAATCGATGTTGCTATCAATTAACCAGCAGCTGTACAATTTCTCTTGCCTTTCCTCCTCATTAGCTCCTCAGCTGAAATTCGGCTTATTGTGGCCTTTTGCAGAAGCAGGAGAAAAAGCCCAGCTGGACACGTGCTCCATGTCCTACACAATACTGAAAGCATGCAGGAGGCACAGAAAACCCAGGAGACATCTCAGGCACCTTCTGTCCCCAGGTCCTCCAGATTCTGGGGTTGCCATCTACAGCTGGAAAGGCTATTATGTCTTTTTGAAAATGAATTTAATACAGAGCAAAGCAAGGTCCTTGCTGCTGTCAGCTCAGTACCTTTTCTGCAGCAGCCAACTCATCCTCCCCACAAAGATCCAAGGGGCTTTATTTGAGGGCTTCTCCCTCTCCACAAATATCCACAGCTCCCTGTCACCACCAAGGGCCCACAACTCTCTTTTGAATGCGAGCATTTGATCAAACCCAAGATTTTGATTTTAAAAGAATGACTTCCAAATCCACTATTCCTAAACAACTCCATCTGGATATATTAGCTTCAGAATAAACCACTCGATTCCTCTTTATGTCGATCTGTTTTTAAGGTGTTTCCCTGAGAGACAAAGCCATAATAAATTTGTGGCCTCAGAGGCATACTGTGGCCAACATTAGCCTGGCTGGAATTCAGCCCAAGCAATTAGCAATGGCAGGAAGAGTCCTGAGCCCAGTGAGCTCCCAACCCTCAGAAAAAAAAAACCCCAAGGAGAGCTAAGAACCTCTGATATCCAAGGATGTGTAACTCTTGAGGAAGACAATCCGTCTATAGCTAGGGCTGCCCGCTGGATGAGTACTCCCTAACTTCCATCCCTGCCACATACATGTTGTTTATCCAACTCAACCAGCCATCCAGGGTCTGCTTTGCCCCAGGTATGCCCAAACTCAGAACTTAACATAAACCCCCAAACAGAACCATTAAGGCTGGAAAAGCCCTCTCAATCATCAAGTCCAACCGCAATCCATCCCACCAACCCATGTCCCTCAGTGCCACATCTCCGCAGTCCTTGAGCACCTCCAGGGATGGTGACTTCACCACCTTCCTGGGCAGCCTGTGCCAGTGCATCATCACCACTATTTTGGAGAATAATTTTTTTCCTAACATCCAACCTTCACGCAGCATGCTGCAGGAGGTCACCCCAGCTGAGATACAGCACAAAGGAGAGTTGATGACAGTCCCCCCCAGAGAGGAACCCCCAACGTACCTCCAAAGCACCACCGAGCCCAGGCTTCACCCTCTGCCAACCTTGTCCCCATCCACCACTCTGCTGGGTTCTAGGGTGGATCCCCAGGGTGTGACACTGTGAAGTCACAAGGCTCAGGAAGGATTGGTGACAATACAGATATCCTCTGGCACCACCCAAGATGGTGGCTGTCTTCCCCTATCACCTTCCTAACTGGTGGCCATCCTCCCGTGGGCTTACCTGATCCCCCAAGCTCATCTCCATCACAACCCTTCTGGCCAAAAACCAAGCTCCCCAGCTCTGTACACGCTGCTACTGACCAATCAATGCTATTGATTAAGTTATAAGGGCAACTGGCAGGACAGTGAGGCAGCAGGAACTGCTAATCTCATTTGGAAACCAGCTATAAACCATCAGCACCTTTTTTCTTGTTGCTCCCGAGCTTGCTGATGGCTTCCTGTCTCTTCCGCTGGCCAGCCTTGTGCAATCTAATTGGGTAGCAGCTTGCTGTCAGAAATAAGGGATCTTGGGGATTATTCTCTCTTGATGCAGGAGACGTCCCTTCAGGACATGGAGGCAGCAGCACCACGAGTCCCCTGGGAGTCCCAGTAGGACACGCCGTGCTCAGAGCCATTGAGAGCAGCAGCTGGACTTGGGATGGGAGACCACAGTAGGTCAAGAGCTTGCAAAAGAGTTCGGGTGAAAAGTTAAGCTAAAAAAATATAGTAAAAAAGCTGGTTGCACGAGCAAGCACCTGCTTTCACAGTGCTCTTAGCTCCCACCAGAGCTCAACGCAACATATCAGCTGCTGGCTTATTTACCTGCTTTATTTTACCTGCCGTTCCTGCAAGGCAGAGCAGCCCTAGTGAGCACAGAAATGCCACAATCTTTCTGAAATCCCCATGAAAATCTTTCTGACAGTGCACCAGGTAGACATATAAGGAGGTTTGCACAGAATTCCTTATTTACAGTGCAAACTTTATGCTTCAATTTTGGCTTCAAACAGCACAACTTATAGGTAGAACACAGTTAACTAATTTGGGAACTCATAGGTTGGATGAATCAGTGATGCCCAAATAGACCCAGAAAGGATGGGAGCTCTGTCCCAGGCAGACAATGGAAGGGAAAGGGAAATGACTTCCACACGATTGTGCCGGTTAAAAATTCAAAATAATTTTAAAAAATCATCATTTTAACATCACAGATGAGCAAATTAGTCATGTTGCAATTGGACATGGAGGCTTTCTCTTGGCCATGGGAAGCCAAGAGCAGCACAGTCTCATGCCAAGAAGCTGGATGCTTTGGAGGCCATGCAAGAAATCCATGAAACATTTAACTAGTCTCTGAAAAAAGCTTTAAATTCAACATAATGTTTAGTAGTTTTACATCTTCCTTCTTGCTTTCTACTGATTATGAGCAATAAAGGCAGAGGACTTAATCAGCCCTGACCACGCTCCATGCCTGACACCAAAGACAGCCAGCCAGCCAAAGCCATTGCGTTAGTCGAGACAAAGATCTGCACAAAATTAACTCTTTTGGAAAATATTTCTATCATACCATTGGTTTTATGGTTTCTCTCATTAAACAACAAATGCCAACTCTGTAACACAGGACAATGTGCTGCTAATTCAAACTCTGGTCGCACAGAAATATGCTAAAGGATTTCCTAGTTACTTTTGTTTGATTAGAGAAGGCACAGCACAAAATCAATTTATGAAGTCCATTAATGGGTTCACCCCCATCAAGGTACAAAAAAATCCACATCCTTCGTCTCTCCTGTTCAGCACTATTAAATTTGAAATGAAAGACCTGCAGCATTTAAATGTTCACAGAAATACATGCAAAGCCCCTTTTTAATGATACTTTCTGCATTTTGGAGATGAGCTTTGTGTTCCAACTCGCTCATGCCTTTTGACAGAAGTCAAAGCAAAGAACCTGTAGAACTCGGATTACGCCAACCAAAATCATCCCTGGCAATGCCACTGCCCCACAAATTGAATCAGGCTCGTGTAGGAGGTTCTTTCTTCAGCCACCAGATTTTGCAAAGGAGGAGGTGACACGGCATGGCCCATCCCAAGCTCACTTGTCGCTATAATAACGCTCTGGGGACACACTCAGCTTTTTAGCACAGCATCTCCAAGCTTTTCAGACATTTATAGTGGGTCTAAAGGCAAGGAAGAATCAGCAATTTGTCCAACATCATATGGCAAGTGTGCAGCAGAGGCAGGATTCAGAACCCAAGCCTTCTGATGCTCTGCTCCATTATTCCCGGCACTTGGGTGATCTGTGTAAGCAATCCTTTCATCCTCCTCTGATTTTTTTTCAGGTCAAGATACGCTGCTATCAGTGCAGTGCTTAATTTCAAACTTGACCTTATTTTATTTTAAAAAAAGCTTTGCTCTCAACTGCCTTTGATGGGACTTTTAAGACCAAAAGAAGATGCAAAGGAAAGAAACTATAGAGTTCTGTTTTGAAATGAAAATCTGATTACCTTCTGCTTTTCCCTAGACCAACAACTCAGAAGTGCCAATCCCAAGCCCTAGCCCACCCCAACCCCTTCATTTTGCTTTCTGGTACCCATTCCCATGGCTCTACCAGCAGTAAAAGCAAACATGCATTTCGGTTGGAATCTTGAGTCAGCAGTGTTTTGTTAAACATAACCATATTGTATCATTATTGAAGACAATATAGCTATTGTAATTACTTCAAAACAGGAAAGAAAGGAGTGAAAAGAACACCAGTTCCATTGCATTTTTCTATAAGGCTTGATGCAAAGCAGTATAATCCAGGAAGAGAGGCAATACATCATTTGGCAAGGGATCATTTGGGCTTCCCAAATACTTCATAAGAAAAGGAAATGCTATCAGAACTAGTGCCTGATTCCCAATCTTCTGTAAAAGCAATAAAAATCAAACATCTGGGCTGGTTGTGTGCTGGGTGACATTGTGTAACATGGGAACAGCACCAAAACTAATCAACAAAATTATCTCCCTGTAAATCACTGCAGTCCAACGACAAATCTTTTATGAATTCTGTAGCTTTTCCCATTTTTCCCTGCTGCCTGAGTTGAATAAAAGACAAGCATCTTTATAATCTAAAGATGCTGTTCTACTGGCTGGGGGGAGAAAAACCTTTCCCCAGCAGCAGCAATCTACCTGAGTGTCCCAACACAGCGCTACATTTTCATATGTAAATAACACAGTGGGAACATTTCCTTCCAAGTTTATGCATGCACGCTACCCACGTTGTAAAAATAAAACACATTAGCAGTGGCACCACATCCCATGAATGCCAACAGCACATCTCCCACTGTCTGCAGTGGGTCAGTGGTGCCCCATCCTTGCACACACCCACAGCCAGGCTGGATGGGGCGCTGATGGAGCTATGGGTGTCCCTGCTCAGTGCAGGGAGTGGGACCAGTTGGCCTTTAGAGGTCCCTCCCAGTTCAAACCATTCTATGATTCTATTCTATAACACCAACTGCTCCAAGTCTCTGAACTTGCTGACCAAAGACATCACTCTTCTGCTGTTGGTTCACATCCATCCATCAGCACAAAAGCTGCCCTAGCAAGGGCTGAGCACAGCTTTCAGGATTTGACCCAATTCAGACTTTTTGGCATTTTGCTGACCTTTTTGCAGCCTCAGTGACCCACTCAAAGCATGTGCATGGACCTGCCACGAATAACTCTTCTAAGGGGCTGGGGAAGGTGCTACACACTGCAAGATGCTTTCCTCTGTCAGGAAAGCTAAGCTTCGTGTGCATGACTTCCTTTGTTTCCATTTGCTTCTTAGAATCATAGAATCCTTAGTGTTGCAAGGGACGTTTAAAGGTCATCTAGCCCAACTCCCACAGCCTCAAATTCAGACTATTGCAGCAAGGAGGGAACGGGAGAAAAGGAATTTCCCAGGACTCTGACCCCCAAAAGAGCACCTTTCCTCTACACCCTCATTTGGGGAGTTTTGCTGCCGGTGCTGCATGCACTGCTTGAAGCTAACTCAGGAAGACAGCTCAAGGACTTCCAGAGCCACAATCCGCAGGGAAGAGGCTTTGGTGGGATGAGGGGGAACACACTGCTTGCTGCTGCTGCTCTGATTCCACATCATTTTCTGTCATTGCTGCCACTGTGACTTTCTGTAGAGGACGGACACAAACGCAGAGGGACTCTGCAAGAAGAGCTCCACAAACGACATTAGCTGTAAGAAATCTGCCTTTCAATCAAAGTAGCCCGAACACCTAAATAATAAAATCTCCTTTCAACGTGATGTGATCAAAAATGACAGAAAAGAAATAAAGGGAGAAGGAGAAAAGAAAAATAAAGAAAAATAGGTTGTCCTGGCAACTGGAATACCTTTCCAGCACTCTGGCATTATTGGATGAAATAAAATAAATGTTTACTAATTAAATTCATAAGGGGTGGCATATATTAGAGTGTGACCACTTAACGTTTTGTTGTAGAGATTGCTATTTCTTGCAAATGAAAGATTTCATAATGGTCTGGCTTTGATCTAAATGAAATACTTAAATCCTCTTTTCACTGAGCAGAGGGGTTTGTTTTGTTTTGCTGTTGTTTTTTTAAACTTTAAATGATAGCAGCAGAAATCATAAATAAAACTTATATCTGTCCCTCAGATAAAGGAGGCAAGGCCACGAACAGCCTCTCACGTGCAATGATTTAATTCCTTTGGAATCAGCCTGAGTGAGACGGAATCACATCCACCAAACCCGGACCTCATCGAAAACATCAGCATTTCGACCTGATTTGACAGCCTGGGGATTTCATGCCAGCAAAACAACTGGCAACCAACCTGCAGTCCTGCCCAGCACACCCTGTCCAAGGTCAGGATTGCAACGACAACCTTGAAGAGGGGCTGCCAGATTCAATAAATCCTCCTCAATCTCCTGACTGCTCTTCTTCAAAGCAAGCAATGGGGCGCTGGGAGCTGTGCACACACAATGTTGTGCTGGCTGTTGTGTTTTTCTGTGGAAATTTTGGAATTCCTGAAAGAAAGAAGAGTAAGAAGAAGAGCCTAGTTGAGTTACCCAGCTGGGAAGAGGCAGAAATCCTAAGCAGATGGATTAGGATGCTCTGCACAGGCATCCCAAGATGGTCAACCTGCAGCCGGGATCAGTGCACACGAGAGGCAGCTGCTGCAAAGAGAGAGAATGGCTTCGGCACATCTCTTTGGCTTTGAACTCCAGGACCTCTTGAGATAAACAGTCTAAATTAAGCAGCAAAACATTCCAGGCTCCCTAGCAAAGCCATCCATTTCAGAGGAGCCCTTGGAAGGCAAAGCATCTACTGGAGACGAGCACAGGACTTCAAAACATTTTTTGGTGACTCCAAGCGGCCTTCCACAGATTTAAACACAACATGACCGGCCTACTCCAAAACTCAACTTTCTTAGGAAAAGCAAACAGCTATTCTGAGTGCTTCTAATCTAAATACATCTATTTAGATCACTACATACACTGTACTGGAAGTGCTGAAAGAGAGCAAAGGCCAGAAGGCAGGCATCTGATGAAATATTTATCATTCCAAAACAACTAAAAACAACAAGAAAAAAATAGGATTTGGTTTTTTTTTTTTCCTCAAAAGATTTCTTTGCAATGTGTAGAGGAAGAACACTGGGAACAACAAAAATATATGAGAGCTAACGAATTGGGAGGAGAGGGAGGCAGGCAGACCTCACTCCTTCCTTATGAACACAGTGCTGCCATTTCCTGCATTGACATGTGAAAACATTGGAAGAAAACACACTGGTGATGAGGAGGACATCATCCATGTGCTGCAGCCAACAGCTCCTGCAAAGGCAAGGGGTGGGGAGATCATCTCTCTTCTGTCCTCTGTATTCAGTAGGAACATGGGAGCAGATGGGATGGCTCCAACATCAGCCAAACAGCTGCTTAATAATGAGCTGAGATTTTTCAGTACAGGAGGAACTTCATCCAGGGAAGTCACTGCCAGCAGAGACGGGAGAGTGGGATGCGGGGAACCGCCTGGAGTGCGTCGGGTCTGGAGGCAACAAACAGCCTCCAGCAGGAAGGAAGCAAAAAGGAGCAAGGCAAAGTGCTTCATCTACAGCTCCTTCTCCATAGATGCAAACAGCCTCACAAGGCTGATACATGAGCAATGCTCAAAGTGCAATAGATTTGCACCACTATTATATTTCCTGAACTGGAAGGAGATAATAAGCAGCACACAGAGCACATCTTTTCCCATGAGGTAGTTTTGTCCCCATGCCCATCCTTCCCCAGTCATGTCTTTGCATGCAACTGAGGTAAAACAACTCTTCTCTCTGTCATTGGTGGGAATCTGGGCAGACACAATGGCTGAATCACTTAGCTGAACCCCACTTCACTTGCCAATCACTTGGTGGGCTGCATTTATTTAATTTTCCTTTTCCTGCATTGTGATAATTTCATGCTGCCAAGAGCCCTCCTCCTCTTTCAGATAAAAAAAAAATATCAACAGCAACATCCTGTATTACAACACGTTCAATTTATTTATGATCTCTCAAAGACTCAATTAGCTTCAGTTTACTCATCTGTGAGATGGGTACGGGATCTCATATCTACTTCAGAGCTACCATCAACCGCAAGATAAATTATTCATCATTTTACAAGGTATCATTAGCCATGCTCTTTCATACCTCGGAATACAGGCACATGGAAAGCTTTAGATGATCATCATTAACGCTAGATAGCTTTCATCCCAGTGATAGCAATCCTGGGAGAAACGCCCTCGGCTATTCTCATTTTATTAAGGAGCCAAAGTCTGACCATGGAACGAGGATTTGGGAGTTCTCAGTGCTGCTTCCCTCCCCTGCTGGACTCTGGCCTTCTCTTGCCTCACTTCTTCCACCTCAATCACAGAGCTTTGATTTACTCACACCTACAAAGCGCTACCAACAAAAAATATCACTGTACAAGAGGTGCCATGAAAGGGGAAAAATATCATCATGCCCAAATCCTGTGATGAGAGGTGACTTGGCTTTAACAGATTAGTCAATACCACCTGGTGAAAAATAGACCTTCTGATGGATTTCAGTGTCTGCTCTGCCTTGAATAGCAAAAGCACTTAAGTGCTTACGCACACTGCTTTTCCCTTCGTTGACAATTTACAGCCAGGGCCAGTGGCTGGGAGATAGCTGGCACAAGGAGATAAACTGCCAGGCCTCACAGATACTAATCATCCATTATACGTCTTGCCACTGCTTGCCAATGAGACAGTGCTGAGACAGGGGAGATTTTGGTCACGCTGCATTCATGACATAACTCAAAGAAAAAAACACCTTCCTTTCTTTTCTTTTGGGTGGTTGTTACTGACATCATTGTATTTTCTCAATTGCTCTACTCTTGTTCCTGCCGAAGAACAGCTTTTAGATGATAGGAAACCCAATGGCCAGACCAACCATAGCAAGCAGTGCCACGCTGAATCAGCAGACAGCCTCAGTTCAGGGCTGCCATTAGCACTGTTGTCTCATAATGAATTTGTGTTGCATAACGAGCTCATGGCGCCAGGCTGCACCGGCCACTCCGGCAGATAGAGCAGACACAGAGGCACACTTCCCATTAAGGAAATGCACCTCTTTCACCATCCTTACCAGAATATTGGTACTAAAGAAGAATGCAAACGTGTTTTTCTTGCCTCTTTCTGTTTTTATCATATACTGCTTGCACAGGAACCGGGATGCCTGAGTATCAGTCCGAGAGCGGATGACTGACCCTGCAATTGTAAACTTGATTTTAGCAGAGAAACACAGTCAAGCAGGTGTGCACACCAAGCTGGTAGCACTGGCACAAGGACAGCCTGCAGGATCCGGCACTGGGTGTGAGCTGTCACTCAGACACCTACATCTATCCTCTGCTGTCCACTATGGAAAAGCCAGCTCCTAGTGCTCCCCATCACTATACAGGACTGAAACATTTCCAAAACCTGAAAAAAATATATGAGAACAGGGACACAGCTGCCCACACCATGTGAGTGAGGACTGTCCCCATCCTATGACAATGGGTAGTGGGGCCACTGCCATCTATGCTGACATCCACAGAGCTAACTTGGATCAAAGCTCCCAAACTGATGCACTTTCTAATGGCAGAAAAATAACTGAAAAACCAAAAATGAGCAACTTCTGTGCATCTCGGATGGGAGATGAGTGTGGTCCTCATCCTAAAGTGCCTCTAAGCCATCCTGCTTCCAGCCAGAAAATTCACCGTGGGCACTGCATGGTTTGGGGTGTTCACTGTCCGTCAGTCACACTCGTGGCACTGCTCACAGCCCCAGCTAAGCACACCCTTTGCAAAAACACAGGGCTGCAAACTAATTACCTTACGGTAATTATCTGACAGCTCCCACATTCTGCTACTGGGCCAAACACAAAGAACCTGGGGAGAAATTTACCAATTTCCCAGGTTTTGCCCCCAGAACTGACCACCAGCTTGCTGCAGCACTGAACCCAATAGTGATGCAGAGGAGGCTGCAAGCACAAGTATGTGGGAAGCAAAGGTCGTGCTTGCAGCAGTGCTCAGCTTTGAATGGAAAGCAAGCAGAGAGAAGGGGATCACGCCTGGGATTTTGGGTAAATGTTAAACTCTTCGCTTAAAAAAAAAAAAAAAAGGAAAAAGAGAAGTTTCCAAACTTGCAGGAGGTGCAAGGTGGGATGGCTGGTGTATGGTGTGAATCACCCAACACAGTGAGCAGCAGTATCTGCACATCCATGGCGGGGATGGAGCCAGTGGGGTATCGGTGACATCCGTTGCCATGGGAACACTATTACCAGGAAACTCAAGGCTCAAGGTGGAGAGGAAACCCCAGAGATTCATTAGCAACAGGTTCCCATGGTAACGGCTCCAAACTCATTAATAATTCTCCCTTCCCCCTCAAAAAAAAAAAAAAAACTTTTGGTGTGTGGGTGTGCAAACCCCCAGGGAGGGCTGAGCCAACAGAGGATGCGCACACACACATGGCACTGCGCCATCCCCCACCACCCACCCCCAGGATTTGCCATTTTAACCCTTGATATAAAATAACAGAAAGCAATTAGGGCGGACAAACACCCTCTGCAGGGCAGCACCATGCTATAAGGGGTATGTCACACTGGAGAGGGCAAAATTAAAAGGTTTCTCCATTGAGATGGAGAGCAAACAGTCCTGGGGTGAGCTGAGAGCAGACATTTCTCCCTCTTGCCCCACCCACACAGTTCCCCCCTTCCTCTCCCACAGCCGAGTCCTGCTCTCTGCTTCCTAAATCTGCTCACAGAAAATACTGGCACATTCAGATTGAGACCCAAACTCCAGCATTGCCCCCTCCCTCTTGACTTTCTCCATCTTTCTCCATGCAAAGTGGGCAGCGATGGGCAGGGACACCCCAGTGGTGTACAGGGAGGAATACATCAGTAATGGGCTGGGACACACCAGCATTGGGCAGGGACACCCCAGTGATTGTCAGGGACATCCCAGCTCATACAGCATCACAGGAGATCGCATGCAGAGGCGCTGGGGAGACACGGCAGCATCGGTCTGATTGGAAGGAGACAAGGAAGGAGATGCAAGCACTAAGAGGGCTTAGAGAGCAACCTAGGAAACCTCTACGTTCTCTGCTGTAACAGCAAATTCGCTGCAAATGATGAAACATCTGTAGCACAATGCAAGCTCTGCAAAGCTTTGCAAAGTGTTTTTGGAGGAGGTGGTGGAATGGGATGCTCTGCATGGCAGTGCTCTGTGCTTTGCGCTGAGCTGGGCACTGGGCAGGCATGGGCACACAGTGCTCCCACTGCCCAGCACAGAGCTGGGGAAGGGGAACAGGAATTACAAAAACAACAGCTGTGTCAGTACAGCAGGACACACACTACAGATCAGCATAGAAGAATCCCTGCTTGTTTGTTTGTTTGCAACAAACATTCACTTTCCAGCTGAGTTGAGGTTTCCCTCATTTAACACAGAACCACTCAGGTTAGAAAAGCCTCTCAGATCCCCAACCCCAACTCATCCTCACCACACACACTGACAGGACCCTCAATGTAAGTTCTTGAACACCTCCAGGGGCAGTGATTCCCCCACCCCCTGGGCAGCAGGGCCAGCGCCTGAACACTCAGAGAAAAAATGTTTCCTAATATCCAAACTGAGTCTCCCCTCACACAACTTAAGGCCACCACCTCTTGTCCTATCACATCTGAAGTTCCAGGGACAAATGCGGCTTCAGGAACAGCAATATGTGATCCCTAAAGAATTCCTTTATTCCAAGATACCACCACCACCACACATCTTTCAGATCCCAACAGGTTCCCAAAACCACATTCAGACTTCAACGCAGGGAGCTTGTGCTGAACTCAAACACAGTGGATCAAGGAGTTTGAAAAGCATTTGCTCAGCTTTCCTTTGCTGTTATTCTGCATGTCTTCTCAACAGGGGAGCTCTAGTATTTCAAAAACTGTCCAGAAAGTGTAGGACAAAGCAGAGCTAACCCCAAACCTTCTCCTTTTATTTTTATTTACAGATCTTGGTGAGACTGCTCACAGGACCATTAGGGAGTGTTCATAGTATGAAGTGTTCTGGAGCACCTCTATAACAACCACTATTCCTTTCAAAGGCAAATAACATTGAATTAACTGTATTAATAGTACAATAACTAAACAAGCCTGGGGGAAGAATGTATAGCTTCTATTTTTTCATGTTTGTTTGCTTTGTGTAAATGAGACATAATCTCTTATGATAAACTATTATGAATTCCAAACAAATCAAGCCGTCTCTATGGTTTTTATCCTCTGCAGTTACAATAAAAAAGTCTCAGCAATGTTAACCCAATACCTTTCACATGCAAATATTACATCCCAGCCTACTGCTGTCAGACTTTCAAGAGAAGCTTTATTTCCTATACCCCCAGCCTAATCTCTCATTTAGATGTTAAATAGTAACACTGACATCTTGGGTGAAAGAACCTCCCACTTCAGAGAAGCTGTCAGATAGTATGGATTAACACATTTGGGAACTCTACATATTATACATGAATTAAAAAGAGTTTTGTTTATAAGGACAGCAGAATGAGCTCACCAAGTCAGACTGCTGATACGAGTCAGAAATCTCATTAAATCAGTAAGAACTCTCAGGTTCACTGCTGTTTCTCTCTGTTCATTAATATAAAGATGACACTTCCAAACCTTTCCGCTCACAGCATCACCTCTGGATAAAGGCACTCTTTGGGAATCACTGTGCAGCACCAGTGGATAAACATTAACACAGACCTGCTACGAAGTTGCTACGTTTCAATAGAACTGTATCTTCCAATTCTCCAAACAGCAACAAACGTAAGTAAATGAGCTGAACAATAAGATGTTCATAATGCAGAAGTACCCCTGAGCCCCAGTCAGAGCAGGATCCCATCACGCTCAGTATGGCACAAAGATGCTACAAGGACAGCCCTGCTCCCACTGAGCTCCCAGCCTAGGATTGTTCTTTCAATTTTAATAAGCCAAGCCCCAGCCACCTCATAACCTGGCATCTTAACTGTTTTCCCATGTAGCAATTAAGCGACAACAGCAAGAAGCAACTTCAGTGCTTCTCTTTATTACAATTGCTTAGGCTGCTGTTAAAGTTCATCGTAACGTGGGGGATGGAAAGAGAGAGATAGTCAGCACATTAATAAGCTGCCAAAAAGAAAGCCTTCATCTGGATACGTTCTGAAATTGGACTTCCTTCTAATTCTGCCTGAATAGGACAGAGCCTTTTTCCCATCACGTGTTGGGTCAAAAATACATATACTTGTTAGAACGCAATTGGATCGAAGGAGCAAAGGTCAGGGAAAATGCTTTCATTATTCACCATAATAAGACTGTAAGACTTGAAGAGAGATATTAATAGTGCTCAAGAGGGAGTTGTTTGGCTCACTGCAGTGGACTCCACAGGACCAGCATGAAGATGATGGCACAGGAGAAAGCTCCAGTCTGATGCCGCAGTTCTGATGGGAGAAGACAATCCAATGACTTCTCTGCAATTGAAGCTGTGTGCACGTTTCTGGCTGCACTCAGCCCCCATCCCACTGCAAGGCACGAAACATCCTGCATGACTTGGCTACAGAAACTCAAACCCATCTTCTTGCAGCAGGGATGAGCAGGTTCCCACAAAACAGCACTGCATATGGCTGATCCGCCATGGCTTTGAGGTAGCTGCCTCGTTTGCTGCTCAGAGATGTAATAACCAGGCCTGCAATTCCTTCAATGCCAGCCAATCATACAATGGCTTAGGTTGGAAGAGACCTTTAAGATCATCTAGTTCAAATCCTCCCCCCCCCACACACACCCCTGCTATAAGCAGGGACACCTCCCTCCAGACCAGGTTGCTCAAAGCCCCATCCAGCTTGGCCCTGAATGCTTCCAGGGAGGGGTATCCACAACCTGGCTGGGCAATCTGTTCCAGTGTCTCACCACCCTCACAGTAAAGATCACAGAATCAAGTATGCAAAGCTGCTGAGAGCTTGTTAAAGCTCATGTGCATGCACATTTGTGGGATAAAATTCATCTGAAATAAGAGAAAAAACATCTGCCAAGCATCCATACATGTGAAATCGGGTCAGCTGCTGAAGATGCACCACTGGGAGGACAGGTGTGTGCTTTCTGCAACAGCTGAAGCTTGGGAGGGATATCCCAAGATCTGCATGCCAACAGGAGCACTGCATCTATAAAACTCACTCAGCATCTCACTGCTGTTTAAACTTCAGGATGCTGATGGGACAGAAGCTGAGGGTGGCGAGGTTAAAGCCTCCTGAAACATCACTGTCATAGAACATTCCTTTGCACAAAAAAAAACCAAAACAACCCATAACACTGGTCATCTGATGAAACCCAAGCTTAACAACAGTCACCTCTCCCCAGGGCCCAGTGCCTGATGATGCTCCCAGCTTCAAATGCTTTGGGGATGACACATTACCACTCTGCAGGTGCCCAAACCATGCAAACATGAAACATCCCCATTATCACACACCCTGAACACAAGAGAGAGGACTGTCCCCCTCTTTTCTGTCACACCCACCCACGAGCAGTGACATCTCTCTGGACTCGAGAGCAGAAATGTCCTGTGAAGGATGGCAGAGGAATGTGAAACACTCCTATCAATGGAGTCACCACATCTCTCAGCTGTGAAGTGCCAGTGCTGTTGAGGCACACAATAAACACCACCTACAGGAATGTGCTCTTTAAAAAAAATAAATAAATAAGGTGCAGAATTACAAGTTGTTTTTAGAAACGCCTATAGCTTTAACCTAAATAATTACACTAGTTGTGGGGTTTAATTAGCTTAACAAGCGGAATTAAAAACAACTTACACAGAGTAGGATTAGAGTAAAGATGTTAAACGCTGCTTGTTTTGTCCTATTAAATGCTGCTGTTGGGTTAATGTAGGTCTTTAGAAATGTAATGCTATCATGGCCTTGAAAAGCAAAGCTTTCCAGGGAACTGTTTTATGTGTATGATCCCAGCAGCACAGGGGAAAGGACGTCGCTTTGGACGGGTTGGTTCCATCATTCCAGTGCCTCTCGCCACAGCCCAGTTTCATTTTAAATAAGCAGGCTTCCACGGAGAAGAAAAAGCTCAGTATTTTAAGGCTTTGTACAAAGCAGTGATTCCTTTCCTCAAGGACAGCATTTTATCTGCTGCATAATGAGATGAAGAAATCCCATCAGACTACAACAAGAGTTAAAAGCGCTGTGCAGACTGCTCCGGGTTCCCCCCCCAAAAAAATAAAATAGAAAAAAAATTAAAAACAAAAAAATCACCGCATCTCTCCAGTGTGGCTTCAGGAGATGGTTTCATCTTTCAGCATACAGAACGCTGCAGGCCTCTTTCAGCTTATAAATGTCCTGAAACCATAAGGAGAGCCACCTCTCCTCTGAACACTCACACAGCTCTCTTCATTAAGGATCTGTGCAGGGAAGTTTTCAGAGCACCAAAACAGGAGGTAAAATGCTGAGAGGGGGGGAGCTGATGTCTCCTGTGTGCTCCTGGGAAGGATGAGCCACCAAACTGCACTGCCTTTAGGACTGCTTTACATGTGAATAAACCCAAAAATTCTCACTTCCCTCTAACTTCAAGCAGAGCCATGAATGTGTGCCAAGAGCTCGGTTCAGCAGCTGGCTGCGCAAGGGAGCAAACCCAATGCAGAGATCAGACAGAAGCAGGTTATGAGCCACTTGACCACATTTCCATGGTAACTGAAATAAATGGCACCATGAGCCTAAAGCTCCCCAGCCTGAGCCTCTGGGGTGTTGAACTCAAGGCCCAACTTTCAGTAGCCCTAAATGACTGTAAGTCATAGGATCATAGAATGGCTTCGGTTGGAGGGAACCTCAAAGATCACCCAGGTCCAACCCCTGCCATGGGCAGAGCTGCCACCCACCAGATCAGGCTGCCCAGGGCCCATCCAGACTGGCCTTGAATGCCTCCAGAGATGGGGCATCCCAATGCCTCTGGGCAAACAGCTCCTGTGGTTAACAAGGTGCTCCATAGCCCTGCACAATCCCAAATAGGCACCAAATGGTTCCCTCCCAGCCTGTGAAACTGGCACAAACCCTGCAAGGTCACAACGTGTCCTCCCTGCAGCAGCATGGCATGGCTTGCTGTAAGCACAGCTTCTCTTCTGCTGCAAAACCCAACAAATTCAGGTGCCGACATTCTCTGTTCTGCTTGGGGAATTTGTACACAGCAGCAAATATGCAAAAAAATAAATAAAAACAAATCATCAAAAATCCTCAGAAGTGTCAAAAGTTGCACATTTTGCTCAAGCTATGATTCTGAACCCAAAGCTTTTTGGTGTCTTTTCCCTGTTGATAAATCATTTGGCCTAAAGAAAGTGCTCCCCTGGCCTCATCTTCTTTCATCCTTCAGACCACCACTATAACTGCATCCGTGCTCCCACTCGCTAAAACAACTTGGCTTTCGTAAAGCAAACAAACGTTTGGATCAATGTGCTGAAAAAAAATACAAACTGAGAAACTCTAGATGTAACAGTAGGGATTTGTTTGTTTTTAAATCAACAATCGGACTGCACAGCTCACCAGGGCTGGGAGATGGATTGCAGGTCCCACAGGTTGGCTGATGTCCACCATACAAACCACGTAACACCCAAGGAAAACCAATGGTCTGGGCTTTTCTTGATTCCTGTTCCTTGCAAGGTCAAAGCAATGGGATGCTGCTCCCATTGCGCTGTCTTGGCTCAGCCCCACGTCATCACATCCATGCAGAGATGTGCCTATATCCAGCTCTGTATCAGAGTTCCATGTGTGTGAGGCTGCTCCCTCTGCCCTACTCCACAAATCAATGTGGGCAACGAAGCAGAAGCAAGGAGTGATGCTTGGCTTCCTTGTCTCTGAGAGCATCCCAAAAAAATTAAGAACTGCAAAAGCTTTCTCCCACCCCCTGACACAAGGTTTCTTTCTTTGCTTCCTGCACCTGTTTTAGAAACACTTCTGATGACTATTATTATTTTTATGATTTCAAGTTTTCTCCCCATTCTCGAAGCAAAAGTCCAGATATGAGTTCCGTTCTATCAAGGCAAGACAAAATGCCCCAAAGCTAAAACTATTCAATGGGACCCAAATCAGGTCCATCAGCCCTATAGAAATCCTACACACTTTTTCCCTCACATTCTTCAAGTTCCCCCAGAGCATTCAGCTCATGCAGGAGGATCTGCTCCATCTCAAGGATGGAGATGCTCCTGGAGGTGTTCAAGAACCCTAGAGATGTGGCACTGAGAGACACGGTGCGGATGGGTTGGGGTTGGACTTTGGGATCCTAAAGGCCTTTTCCAAACATAATGTCTCTATGAAGGAGAAGGTGAGAAGGCTCAGCTGTGCCCACACTACTGTATTTCACACCCCACAGCGCTGCCCAGCACTAAATAAAGCTACAAAGTTAGCATGAAAAATAACAGCACAGAGAGGCAAAGTAAGAGTTATAAGGAAGGAGAAAAAGTGATGCTTTCAGCTGAGATTTAAAGCGAGCAGCTGAGTCAATGAGGCAGAGAGGGAGTGGAGGGAAACGCCGCGGTGCAATAACTGCTTGTCCTCAGCCACGGAAGGGAAAGATGAACAAATTGCCTCCAAATTGCCCTCCTTAATTTTACAGCCTGCTGCACATCCCTCACCCGCCTGGCTGCTCAGCTCGGCTGCCTGCCCCATGCAGACAGACAGATCCCCTCCTTAGCACACCGAGCTCCACGTGGCACTGCTACACCTCCCACCCCCAACTTCCCATACTTTGCAGCAATATACATCCCTTTTCTATTAATTTGCTCTCCCAGTGCTCTTATTATTTAAGTTCTGCATTACTTAACTCTCCAACGTGTTTTGAGACGCGCAGTTTGCAGAAAAGGCACTATGCAAAATAAAATTGTATCTTCTGTTCTAATTTGTTTCAGAGGCTAATTACCAGTTTTATTGGGTTTTTGAATACGAACGTGTGCTGCATATTATGTACAGCACAGCTGCATACAGTAAGTGATCCTCTGTGTATTACAAGTTTTGAAAACAGTAAAGGAAAGGGAAATAATAGATGGTCATTAGGTTTTACATAGGTTCCATTTCTCAAAGTGGTTTTTTTTGTTGTTGGTTTTTTTATTTTGTTTTAAAGTCAATATAGAGCTTTTTCTCACAGCCAAAGAACCATAGAATGGTTTGAGTTGGAAGGGACCTTTACAAGCCATCTGGTCTAATTCCCTGCAGAGAGCAGGAACACCCACAGCTCCATCAGTGATCAAAGCCTGTCCCTCTCATAGTCCCGAAGCCACAAGCACACTAAGCCTAAAGAGAGCATTACTGGTATTATAATGCTAATGTCTTAAACACTTACAGAATAACCCCCTGTGATGGGCTGCTATGGACAGCGGCTCTGCATAGAACCAAACTGGGATGTCCATGTCCTTGCCCCACAGACCCAACCTGAAGTCCTCATGGAAATACACCTGGAATCAGTTTCAGTACAGCTCTACAACAAGTTTTTGAAAGGGTGAAGGCGCAGGGATGTGCTGTTTTATTGGTAAAAGCAGGAAGAAAATCCATTTTTTTGTGAAAAAGAATGGCATGACATTTTCCTCAGCAAAAGGTGAAAAATCAGTTTTGTTGAAAAAAATGAGAAAAAAAAAAAAAAAGTGTTCTGGAAAAGACTCACTTGAGGAGCAAGGGGAGGTAAAGGCCTTTTCAGCAGGCAGAAAGAATAATGAAACAGTTCCCTGTGGTGAGAAGAGTAGTGATGGGCACAGGAGGAGGGCAGGGCGAAGGCGGCGCTGG